AAATTATACATTAATAAAATATTATAAAGGATGTATGTACATATTTTAATGTATTTATTATTTATTTTTATTACACGTTATAAGGTACCACCAGAAACTAGAAATAATCAACATGAATATTAATTAATTTTTCAATACAAATTTATTTCTAAATTATAACCAAAAAAGTTTATTTTCTACTATTTATTTTACGAAATTTGAGTCTTATAACCGAAGTGTTGAGTCTTATAACAGATTTTTTTTTAATGTATTTGGATACATCCGGAACGTTCCAGACGATTTTGAGTCTAATAAGCGACTGAACCTTATATCCGTGAGTCTTATAAGCGGCGTCTACTGTAATATCATAACTCGTTGTAATTGGATTTCGATTCTGATTTTCAAGTACCTCAAATATGTATAATATATTGATATAACATCAAATACAAGTGTTACTAAAAAAAATATTTATAGATAGTAAACAACTACTTTTTATTTTCCCGTAAAAAAAATTAAACTATAGTGCGTGTAATCGTTCGAAAATAATATCATAATATATAATACAACAACGAAACAAATTAGTTAATAATATAAATTATTAAAAAACGTTTAATATTTCATCGAAAATAATAAAATTATCAATTAACAAAATAGTTTTTTATTGAATGAAATTGTAAAGATCGGCCGTATTCGTGTTAGATATAATCAGGTATTTGTACGAGCATAATAAAGTTAGTTAATTTACGTGCAATATTTTATCCCCAAACTGGCCAAACTACTGCTTACTTATAGGCTATAACCAAAGTGTTCGGAAACTGTATTCACTATTCATAGTCGATTTTTAAAGTTTTAACTATTGTAAGCTTGCTTTGTATATTGAGGTTGAGTACACCTATTTGTCATACACATATGGTCACATGTCACAACTATTTAAACTTTCAAGTTTTACAGGCTTAACATGTGACAACACGATTCAGAGTTCAGCCAAGTGGTTCATTTTTTTGTTGGCATATGGCTTAGAATAAATTCAGTTACGCATGTAAAGAAGCAACTTTATTTGGTTTCACAGAATTTAAGAAAATTATACATTTTCTGTTCAGAACAGTTCTACCTTATTTGACATTTCAGCTGGTTTACTATAAAAATAGCTCCTCCAATTAAAACGTGAATTAGGATTTCGATTTCATACTGAAAAAATAGTAACATTTCCCCAACATTTTAACTGCTCTTGGATCGTGGCTGATTACGTAAAATCATAGTTATTCTAACTCAAAAGAACAATGATGTTTTAATCATTATTATATTCCATACTCTAATTAATTTTTTTATATCAGTTATACTGATATAACAAAATTTAAGTAACTTAAAGAGACAAACAAGAGAATAAAAACCATTAGAGTGTTAATAGAATAATCTTAAGAGGACGTTACAGTAAAAAAATAATTTTAATCGTATACAATGCTTAAGTAGGTTTCCATAATATAATATTGGGTGTCGTATGTATTCGTATCTTATGGACATATCGTCGCCGCGTCTGTTCATTACCACAACCACTGCCTTCACGATCGAATGAAGCGTTTAAGTATATATTATTATGTTAATTAATATTTTTATGGTCAAGGGAGAGGTGGCATGTTTTATTATTCTGCAGACAGTACTGTTGAAGATTTGGCGTCAATGTTTTTGATTGTCGCAATTATAATATTATTGTTATTAATACTTATATCACTCCAACACTCGCACGCCCACAAACTATAATTTACTAGTTAAAGTTTCTGTTCGCCTATAAATAATAATAATAAATATGTGTATAGTGTACCAATACATAGATAATACTATAATATAAACCAATTCAAAACATTGCAGCATAGCTTGATTTATATAAATCACGTTTTTACTTTTTAAGATAAGATAGTAGATAAATATAAAATAGTAAATATATATTTCAATCAAATAAATATTTATAATATTGTTACACGTTACTTTTTAGTTATGAAAATATATTTGGCAACCAAAATGCTTTTAAAATTATGATACGACGACAAAACGACTTATATAAGTAAATAATATTATATAATAATCCTATATTTTAATAAGATTTATGTAAAAAAAAATTAAAAGTGAACAGGGAGAGAGTAGATAACCGCTCCGCTGTTGACTAGGACTTGGTGTCCGGGTCATTGAAAAGTAATACGGTAAATGTATGTGTTAAATTTAAATTCAATGATAAATCATTGTATACGACAAGCGATTCTAAGAAGACTGCCAGCCTATGTTATTGACGAATTTTATAAAAATGTACACAACAAATGTTTATATATCTCTAATATTTTAAATAAGTATACCTAATACCTATAGTAAAAACTTATGAGGAACCTTGATTTCAATTTTCAAACTTTTTGACCCATCGAACATTTTTTTCGACAAAATGTAATAGAAATAAAAACTATGTTATTCCCGTTTATTTTGAAAAGTACTAGGAATTTTTTGTTTTTTACACCCAAAGTACCAAATTCTAATTAGATAAAATTTTTCACCGGAAACCACTCTCATTTTTATTCCCCAAAAGGTGACACACGTTATTTTAAGCTCTATATACATTCAACGCTCCACTCGTCAGAATCAAAAATGGTGTCAGTACCAATGAATTCGGTTGTTTTTTAAGTCCATACCTAGTAATATTTTCAATATGGGATAAAAAATAAAACCTCATACATTAATATAAATTAATTAGTTAGAAATTAATTTAAATCTTAAAGGGTGTGACACTAATCAAGTGAGATTTAAAAAAATTGAACTCAAATATTAGCTAGTAAACATGAAATGAAATATATCAAAATCATTCCCTGTATTTTAGTATGCCGTAATGGTTAATTTAACTGCAGCGTTTTTAACGGGCTGAATATACTTCATTAACTTACTTAATAAAATGTGAAGCAAATATTTTATTCCTTCACAACCGACAGTTTAACACACATAAATCAACAAATCACCCAAGCGATTAGAAATTTTTACAAAAATTCATAGCAACTGGGAAACAAAAACTATTAGATACAAAGTGAATGCGTGATCCAAATATTGTTAAAATTTTGAAAAATGTCAATCCAGAGAGTAAATAGTGCGATTGCCAATAGTTTGGTGGAATACGATCCAGGCGTTCCAGAATAGTTATGTACTCTTGCTGGAACATACAAACATTCATACCCACTTCCGTTTGTAACCTCCATCATTAAATTACTGTAGTACCCGCCCGTGTAAAAAATAACAGTAAAATGTAAACAGCATAAACTTTTAACACTGTTGAGTAGCGTGTGGGTTCGTAGAAAAAATTGAGATAGGTAAATAGCTGCAAAAACTGACAGATGACGTTATGGGTGCATTATTATAAATTATAATGTTTTCATCACTTAATTTGCGAGTACAGGAGTTGGATCGGTCGTTTATAGTAACACTAAATACCGCGGATTCTTACGTGTAAATGCAACTTTTTATTGAGTGTTACAAAATCTATGGAAACAAGTGTTCCCAATCAAGTGAATCAAGCAAAAGCGAGTTATAAAGTTAAAGTTAGTATATATAAAGAGTTAATTTTTTTTAAGTAACTTCGAACTTAAACAGTTAAAAATTGTTGTTCCATGATTTGCAACCTACTAATCAGTTAATCGATTTCATAGTCATATTAAGTTAATTTCTTTTCCTAAATTGTAGACTGTCAGGGTCCCGGTAGTGTTCAATTATATACTACTTCTGGATTTCAATCGGGATTAAAATATAACGTACGTCTAATGTCTATTATAAAAAGCTTATCAAATACATATACATGGAAATTGGCAATTTCATCCAAACACATAATTAAGACAAACATACACTTTTAAATATGTAATATGCATATTTTAATCACTCGACATGACGAGCGAAAAAAAATTTGTTAACTTGAACAGCCTTGATGGTTGTTGTATTATTATAAAGTCGCGATACTCACACGTCGTACCTATGTCGTAATATTTGTTTGTTGGCACTTACCACATTCAATCTCTCGACCCGCGCACCCACCACGTGTTTGGTATCATCGCCTTAAATAATCTTTTCGCTGTTGTCTTAAATCGTTTCGTTTTTACCGTTCTTTCCGCTATCGTACGACTGTGTGAGGGTGTGACACATAATAATAATATTATTCCTCGTCATATTCTAGTAAACGTCGCCGTCGCAAGCTCTTCATACACGCGTAGTGACGTCTGCCGGCCGGACGCTCTCTTGCGTGTAACCGAAATATTATTATTGCTGTAGCACGTCCTTTTCTAGTTTTTTTATTTCTTTCAAAGTACAACAAACGATCTGACGACATAATAACATCGTCTTGACTGTAATAATAATCAAATACCGTTATCATAAAATTACTTCGAATAATATTTTGAGGACTCCACACCCGTATGTGTTAAGAAACGCAAAACATAACAAATTGTGCATTCACAATCATCCATTTTACTTCTCTGTTGTATTTAAAATACAGCGAATTGACATATTATAAAATGTAAAGGTAAGAAAATTATCCGGGGCACTTCAGAGGCTTATTAATATTTTAACTACTAAACAAGTTATAAGCATTTATAACTGTAAATTGTTTTTAAATTTTAAATAATAATATAATAATCTTACCTTTACATTTTATAATAAATAATCAATTGCCTCTAATTTAAAAAAAACAGAGGAGTAAAATTAATTATTTTGAACTTAAAATTTGTCAATCCGCTTTTGTAAGACGGGGACAACACGTGATGCGGGTGTGGCGTTCTGTTACCTAACGTATATTATTATAGTCGATTCCGATAACTCGAATCTCAAGGCGAATAAGAATAAATTCAACTTATATATTTTCGAGTATACACCTCAAACACTTCAAGGGGCAAGAAAAAATTCAAACTATCGAAGTTTTCGAGTTATCGAGATTCGAGTTATTCGCGAAACTCGACTGTATTATATATTTTATCTCATCCACCGCAGAAGAACAGCGACCACAAGAAATGGGAGACGAGAACAACGGCTCCCGTACGGCGGCACAAACGCAGTTTCGGCTGCAGCCACTGAAACAATACAACGTGCGCATCACCGACCACAGTGACCGGCCATCGAGGTGGTCATCGCTGTTGTCCTGGTCCGATAACCGGTGGCCGGCAACTTCGGCGGACGCTATCGCTGTCGTATTGTCCGTGGCCGTGGCCTGGTGTCTGCTTCGCGTGAACGTGGCCCCAGCTCTGATGGCCGTGCCCGGTGGCAGCGTGGCGTCCATATTCATGCTGTACGTGGTCGGGCAAGCCGCCGGCTGTGTCGTCGACGTGGCTGGCGGCCTCCCGCCGCTGCTGGGTATGATGGTGGCCGGTATCGCTCTCCAAAACTTTGGCCTGTACACCGTCACCGCCAACTGGTGCGTCAACCTGGTGGCAATTATGAGGTAATTACGATACGATATTGTTCGGTTTTTATATTCTTTAAATATATATTTCCTACGGAGCGCACTCGAGTTATAAGCAGCAAATAATAGTATAGCACATATGCTAAACCGCAACATAATCGTCATAACTCTAAAGATTTGATTTTGAGGTTTTTACATTATTTGTTATAATAAGAAAATCATAACGTATACTATAGTTTAACACTATCATAATTTCAATTATATATTTATTCTCCCATCGGCTGTTAGAATTCGACTTATACTGATTGATACCATTGTCAGTGACCACTAATCGCCTTAAATTATAGTATAATATCACCTTTTTGAAAATATCTTTTACATCACTCGAAGACCGAAGTCATTACAACAATCTTTCTGACATTTTTTAATTTTTACAGTTTTTAGGAACAATCGTGCACAATTTTCGTTCAACAAGTAAAATATATTGTTTAGTAAAAGGCACTCTACTCGATATTTTCCACTTTGAAGAAAATTTATGAATCATAAATATGTATATTAATAAGTAACCATTCATTGTATATTCACTTAATGGGAATTAGGTAATCATAACATTGTATTAGTTTGTATATTGATACACCAAGAGTTACTCAAAATCGATTAGAAAATACAAATATCTGTACCCAGCCCAAAAGGTAAAAACATATATTATTATTAGAAAACACAGTTATAATGTAATATGTTATACTAGAACAGTCACAGTCAGCTATTAGCTTAGCATAACAATGGTTTTGTATTTTAATAAACTACATGTGTATTACGAACCGTGGTGATCAAACAGGGGTAGGGAGTAGTAGGGTGTAGACCCCACGACCTTTTTTTCAAAATGTATAATAATATAAACATCATAAAATATAAATTATATTTTTATAATGAAATAGTGTGTTTTGAAAAATCAGCCACATCCCCCTTTTCAAAATTATCGAATAAATTAATCGAATAAGATTGTCACTATTATAACGAATGATACTTGTATAGGTAGTAACTTATATTGAGTCATTACACTCGTTTCAAGTATACCAAACTTATATAACGAATGTTTTTATACATTTAGTCGTCCATATTTCCCAACCATGATCATTATAAAAATACAATGAATTTGTTTACGAATGGGCGGGGAGGAAAGTGGCTAGCAAGAGTGGAAAAGTTTTACACGTGAAGTCGTGAACCTTTCAAAATAAATTGTACTTCTCAACAACAGCTCTTTACTCGATTCAGAACTAATAATTATAATAGTACAGAGTACTATTATGAGTTATAGGCATATTAACATTTTAAATATACCTTTAATGTCTATAGAGAGACACGATTTGACACTTTCTGAACTTTTGGATCTACACCCGCCACGCCGTCACCAATAGACACTCCATAGCAGGAGTGGCAAACTTACACAAGACACGTATCTGGTTGCAAATTTTGAACGGGACAAGAATATTTTAATTTTAAACGAATTTTAAAAAAGGACCAAAACAAATTTCGATAGTGGTTTCTGAATGAATTAATATCTAAAAATTGAACATGTCTAGTATAGAATAAACAGTGTAAGCAGTGTAATTTGTAAACAGTGTTTAACAGAGTACCTATGCGTTAAGTAAAATTAATTTTATTTTAAGGTTTTCAAAAGTCTAAATCGTAGTCTTTCAATAATTAGCAAACCAAAGTTCATTTTTTTCCGATAGCAAATGGAAGTAGCTATAAAATCCTGAATTAAAAACGAAACTTGTCTTAAACATTTTAATCTACAACTAGTGATTTTTTTAACGCAACAATTCGTGTTAAAAACACATTGTCTCCTGTAGATATAATCTATATTGTCACCCGTCTATAATAATATATTATATAAAAAAATCCCAAGACATCATAAAACATAATAATTATAGTATTAATATTGTTTTAAGGTATTCGATTGATCGTCTCGTGTCATTGTTATTTTTACAGAGAAGCTGCGCTGTCGGTGATCTTGATCAAAGGCGGCTTGGAAATGAACCCAGCTCAGTTGCGTCGGCTAAGCGGTGCAGTGACTAGACTGGCGTTGTTGCCGTGTGTGGCAGAGGCAGGGGCCGCGGCCGTGGCTGCGCATTACATTTTGCCCAATTTTTCTTGGGAATGGGGTCTGATGCTGGGGTGAGTAGGTAATAGTAATAATTATTCGGTTTATGTTTTTAAGAAAAATAATTCGCCATTTCATTTAACCTCAAATCTTTTCTCATTTTATAACAGGTATATACGGATTGTTTATACAGTGCGTTCCAAAAAGAAAGAATTGATTTTGAATATTTATTATGGTAAATGCCAAATGGTAGTAGGTAGGTATATCGTATATGATATAAAAACGAACACAGCACAATATGTTACATGATACTCGAATAAATGTTATATCCCCCCCCCATCCCACCAGTAGGTTGATATATAATTTGATTTTAAGGTAGGCTTCAATCTTCCTACACGAAATGAGATAATTAATAACATAAAAAAATTATTAATGTCTTGATCTAGGGGATATTCAAATAATTTTTGGGGGACAAGCCCTCACCCAATCTTTGCCTATGCTCCCACCACTACACGAACGATATCGGGACGGTATTCGAATTCCAGTAATACTCGATCTACCAAATTTGGTGTCACAGTGACAACTGCGGATATTTGTCAATTTATCGTAAATAATTCACAGCACGACAATTAATCACAATAATTTTACTAAACTACAATATTTATATAATCACAGATCGTGTCTTGTCTGAGTTGGTCACTAGCTTTCATTGTTCGTATATATTAATAACTAACTATAACTTATTAATGGTATATAATACAAAACCTATAGATATTTGTAATGTGAAGAAATTATGTACTGACTACTAAGTAGTAGGTAAGTACTAATTATAATAATAATACAAATATAGAAGATATTATCCTTTTCATTACCAACAATTTTCAATATTTAAAGCTGAAGTTTTAAGCTTAAAATATGGATATGTATTAAACTATAGTAAGCTGGTAGGCTTATTTTTGTATTATTACTGTGATTTTTTTCAGTGTCTTTTTTGCAGTTAATTTGTATTATATTTTTTTCTTAACTAAACATTTTTTACCTAAAATAGCTACTATACAGCTTTAAATTGTGATGCATATTGTTTCGATCAATTGTCATTGTAGCGATCAACTTGTATCAAATATATCTTGCCATAAATAATTAGTAATAAATTGTTATATGATAAATTATTTACTATAAAATTAGAGAACACCAACTATAGTAGCTAGGTACTGATGTTGTAGAGTGCCTATGGTAGAACGAAGTTATAACTCATAAAGTCGACTTGAACTTATCAGTCACTTCTAGAAGAGCTATCTGTTGGCATTTACATGAGCGTCCGAGACAAGAATAACACCAGGAAAAATGACTGCGATTTGGAACGCACTGTATTATAGATAATATTAATATTATCATATAAAGTAGATACTGATAAATCTTGAATGCTTGATTCGTTCAAAAACCTTAAAAATGCACTTAGCATTAACTTTTTAACACTGATGGTATTTTTAACCATAATTGTGAAAAACAACAAATTTTTTCACAAGCAGTTTCAGTATGAATGTTTAATATTCATAAACAATAATACTGCCATATCTATACGGAAATTTGATAACCAGTGACCACTGATATAGACATAACTTATAATCATATTATATTATTCACTATTTGAGGTATTTTTCTAAAGCCGATTAATCAAGTTGATACCGTACACGCCTAAAATGTACCTGAACTAAATTGAGGTATATGTGCATTATGACATGTATAATATTTAGGTACAACACTGCGTTTTATTATTATGGTCTGTTTGACATCTGGTCGAGTAGATTAAAACAATATTTTAGTTATTTTACCAACGAGTCATACGATGAATTGAATCGTCTTTTAATTACATTGTATGCCGTTGCACTAATTCAAATCGTCGTTATGATTTTACTATTTTAGTATAGCTAAATACATAGGAAATTATACTTGCATCAAAATACTAAATTAATTGAATAAACCACAAACTATAGTAGAATTTATACGGTTTTGAATTATTTGTAACATATGCTATTTATCAATGTAAATTGGTTATAAATCATCACTATCATTCAATTTAATTTTGTGGGCAAATAATTTCTAACGTCTGATAATATTGTAGTTTAAAATTATAAGTACCTTTTAATAATATTATTTATTATTATGTTCAATAAATCCAATTGGATCAATAACCATTAACAAACCATTTCGGGGATTACAAAATATTGCGAGCGCAATATCCGTGAGACTGGTGATTAATAATGTATTACATATTAACATCTGTACCTATTTAGATTTTAGGAGTCAATATTTTAAGATATTAACTAAAACAGTTTGCTTATTGTCTTATTAATAACATTCTACTAACTTAATGGCGAATATTATAACCTAAAAACACATTATTGTGTACAAATATCGTAAAGTTTATGATATCATAATAATATTAAAGTTACCGTTACTAATAATTTTTATTTTTTTATAATCGTAGTATATATTTACCTATGCAAACATGCCAGCCACTAACGTTCCATATTCTAACCTTACAGTTAGCAATTTTATAAAAACCATATTTTTGTTTGATTTGTATAAGGTTCGTCTTATCGGCCGTCAGTCCGGCTGTTTTGGTGCCGAATCTGTTACGATTGAAACATATGGGATACGGTGAAAATGGTGTCAACACGCTGGTGATAGCTGCATCAAGTTTAGATGACATTGTGTCAATCAGCGCTTTTGGTGTCTTGTCGGGCATCGTTTTTTCAACGGGTACGTCGAAGTTTTATTAAAATATAAGTGTAGTAATATTTCCTGCTTTACACTGAACGGAGTAACTGCTTGCATACTCTCAACCATTGACTTGGACAATATTACGCAGAATGCATTTTCTATAGAACGAACATTTTCGGAATACTGTCAACTATGTGAGGTTTAAAACAATGCATTTTACGACCATTTTATAGCATATCTGTCTTATACATCCCCTCCACCGTTGAAAATTCCTGGGTGGGAATGTAGAGGGATGGTCCTGTGACAATTGTATATTGGTATACCAATGCAGTTTCAGTTGTCATTCTAACCCAGGCACAATAAGCGTTCCTAGTGGTATTTTTTTTTTTTAACGGGTAATTAGTAAATGTGAGTAGGTAAGTGACATACCACGTGAGATTACCACACAAGTGTTCCAAAACTTTAGGTAATGAATTACCAAGTGTATCCATGGAGATGTCATAAACATAAACCACATTCGTTACAGAATATTGTAAATACTATAACAAATTATTTCGATAATTTTTTTATTTATAAATCCATCCGTTTTTTATATCGTTTTGTGTACGATTGTATAATATATTGTTTGTACACAACTATTATAAGGCTATGGTAATTTTTGATATTTGTAAACAGGTGACTTGACCAGTAAGATCGTTCAAGGACCCGAAGACGTTTGCATTGGGACTGCGTTGGGACTTGTGTGGGGATTCCTCTTGATATTTGTGCCACCTCCATCGTGGGCAAATGTGTCTTATACAACCAAAAAAGGCAAACTCGATGACGAAATCGAGGGAAATGATAAAAAACAAGTAGGTCGATAAAACGACGACGATGTGAGGTTGATAAGGTGCAACGAATGTCTAATGTTTTCCACGTGTCACGAAAAGAAGGACCGGTCGGTGACAGCCGTGAGAGCGTTTCTGTTGGGCGCCGGTGGTATTCTGGCCGTGACTGGCAGTCAGTGGTACGGGTATCCTGGGGCTGGTCCTTTGGCTTGTATCATATCTTCGTTCGTGGCGGGCACTGGTTGGAAGTGGAGGGAAGAAAAGCAAAACTGTGACAGTCCAACCACGGTTTTGACACATGACGAAGCAAGCCCAGTTGAAGCGGTATTCGAGTGCATTTGGTTTGGGCTCCAGCCGATTCTGTTTGCGTCCATCGGCACTGAAGTCAAATTTGAACTCCTCAGGGGTGGTGACATAATCATCGCGGGGCTGTTGGTACTCGCTGCCGGATTGATAGTAAGTTGTGGTAAACTATTTTAAGCTCATCACTATATAGTCATGGCTAACCTAACTGCTCAGTATTAAGGAAAATCAATATATGATTTATGATATTACTAAATTTGTACTTAAAGATATACATTAATATTTTAATTAAAGAAATTTTAATAAAATCGAGTTTTCCTTTCAGTCAGATATTTAATATATTGTCATTTTCTGGACGTTTTAGTGTGATAACTGATAATATAATGTAGGTACCTACATAAAGATTAAGTTTTTATAAAAAATATTATTATTTTAATTTAATATTATGGATAAAACAAATATCTATTCAAACTTCAAAGCTAGACAATTTAATGATTTTATTCAACTCGGTTATAACTTTTAAGTTAACTTAAAAGATAATAAGCAATTTTTTGTTAAACTTTATTAAGTTAAAAATATTTATTTTTTTTTATTATAACTGCAGTCTACTTTATTTTTTACTAACTTAAAACTGTACGATTACAGTCAGTATTTGAATGAAATACTACATTGTAAATTTTTGAAATAGAAAATAATCAATTCACTCTAAATATTACCCAAAATATTTTAGACTCTGAGCAGAGTGATGGATGTACCTACTTTCTGATATGTCTGTCATAACTTTTTGGGGCAGTAAAAATGTTTCAATTTTCTATTTCAGCATTTTTTCCGGTATTAAGTGGAACCTAGTTTACACTTTAGGTGGTCAAAAGTAAAAGTGTCTTCATAGTTTTCAAAATCGTATACAAAAATAAAAAAAATAAAAAAATAAAAAACGGATTATTTTTACTCTAAACATGCAGTTATCAACGAAATCGATTAAGTTTTTTGGTGTCATTCAAAAACTAATAACCGTAGATACTTAATTTTTTACAAGTTAACAGGAAATTTAAATTAATTATTATGAGCTTTTGAAGTTCAAATTTTGATAAAATTAATTTAAATCTCCCCTAATTTTTAAATTATTTTATAGTTTAAAATGTAAAAATGTACAATTTGTATGGCTAAGGGTTTAAAATGTAAAACAAGGTTTCTCATCAGTGTTCCATATTGTATCCAACAAATCTAAAGAATATAATATAATTTTTTAGAGATTTTTTGAGTTCAATTTTGATCAAAGAATAACGATTTTTGTTATTTTGTTGTAATTTAAAAATATTATTCGTGGATACACAAAAAAAAAATTAAGTTTATCACTAATTATTATATTGTATACACTTAATGACATATTCAAATTTTAAGTTAATTAAAAAAAGTTAGGTTAGTAGTTAAATTAACTGAAACCCAAAAGTAACTATTTAAGTTAAAAAATGTAAACGAAATAAAATTAACTTTTTAACTTGTTAATGTCCAGCCTTATATCTAATATTACAAAATAAGCTGTATACGTATTATGTTAAAGGTGCGTTTAATTGTAACGTCGTGTGCAGTTTGGGGAACAGGATTCAACATTAAAGAAGTGACATTTATTAATATCGCATGGCTTCCCAAAGCAACTGTCCAGGTAAGTAACGTATTTATGGCGCATTTTACATCAAATATGACGTAATCCTTTATAATTATTTGCCTATTAAGATCTTCTATACCATTATTACACGATTTGCATAAGTTTATCACAAATGATTTGTTTTTATAACTATTCATAATATTAATTATGCTTCGTATAATATATTTGTTATGCAGGCCGCGCTTGCTCCGGTAGCGTTAGACATGGCGAGAATGATGGGAACACAAGAGGACATTGAAAGTGCTAGTCGATTGTTAACCATCTCCGTAATCTCCATACTAGTTACAGCCCCTATAGGGGCATTCGGCATTCAGTGGTTCGGTCCCAGGTTGTTGTCCAACCCCGGTCGATAACTATAAATTGTTAATAATGTGTTAAATATTAATTGAAAACGCTCAATTGTATGTTTATTGTTTAAAAGTATTTCTAGCAAAAAAAAGTAAAAAGTATATTACTTGTAAATTATAATCACGTATAAATGGAAGCCCGTTTGGATAAAATCGCTAAATTTAACTGTATCCGAATATCCGATAAAATCAAGAAATTATCGAATTATGTAATGATACAACAATATTTTAATAATTATGAACGTTTGGACAAAAAAAAAACAGTTTTCGTGAGCACAGGTTATAAAATGTTTCACGTAACTTACGTTCTTCCGAATATATTTTTTAATAATATAGATTTTGTATTGGTGATCTGCAGGCACGGATCCATAGCAAAGATCTGGAGTGGGCCCTAACAATTTTTTTACAACACAAATACAAATACAATTATAATAAAATATTATACTTGATTCTTAATTTAAAAATGTTATCATAGAAGTAGGTACCTATAGGTAATCAATGTGATAGATAAATTATTGATTATTTAATATATAAAGTGACAATGTGAAAAGAAGTTTAGATTTTGTTTATTTATTATTTAATATATAATATTTATATTTATAAAAATATATATCTGTGGGGGGCTGGGCCCCTAGTCCCCCTCCCTGGATCCGTCCCTGGTTATCTGTCAATGGGGTGGGAGGCATAAGTTTTAAAAACAATATTAAATTACACATTTATAAAAATCATATTAGTGATTAGTATAGGTGTAAAGAAATTTTATATTATTAACGATGTCATATCACATCGGTCTAATTGGCTATATAGTTAAGATGTTACACGCTTTCGATTGGCTAATAAATACAAATGTACAAAATAGTTATTTATTACGAAACAAAAACCAAGGGGAGCCTCTCTGCCCCCTCACGGTAAATCCGCCATCGGTTATAGGTACATATTCAACGATTATTAATTATACTATCAATACCTACATTTTCTTTTAAATATTGAAGACATTACTGACTACTGTTATTACAAAAAGCCAGTGGCACTAGTGTTTAAAATATACTATGACATTGCATATAAAAAGCTCCTCCAACCCTCCCTCCCGCTTTTTTAATTTAACAATCAGATTGAATCAAAGCACCTACATAATACGATGTTTAATAATTTATTTTGACCTCTTATAACGTAAATTCTGGATCAACAGCTCAACAGCGGGATCCCTGCAATACCAAATGGTGCCCCCCCCCAAATTAAGGTAATCGGCGACACCACAAAATTCTGGCCAAAAGAATCAATGCCTTATGCCGGTATAGATATACGTAAATATGGTAGTAAAATAAACAGTATTTATAAAACAATTTTAAAATTAAAAGAAACAAACACAAGTCCTAAAAGCATATAAAAAAAATATCAATTAAACAATACAAAATTTTACTATTGTGCACAGCATAAATATTACCATTGGTACAAACACACATTTTTTAAATTATTTTATACGCAAAATATAGAAGTACAATGTATAGTAATAGAATTATACTAATATTATGATTTTATTATGTTTACATATTTTAACATTATTCGTTGAGGTATGAATAATGAAAAGACAGGATGTGCTTTTAGTACATATTTATATCAGAGGTGAACGATACTTTTATTTTTTAATGTAAGATAATTATAATTGTTATAAGTACAACGTACTCAAATAATGAGTGTATTGAATTAAATTAATCATTTTGTAGATATACACTTTTTAATGTTTTATATTAGTTTATGAAACTGCAGAGTAAAGATATTATAAACATTGAACATGTTGAACATTAAAAAAAAAACAGATGTATCAAGCAGTAACGTTTTATACATAATAAAAACCCCTGATATGCCCCTGATTGTCTAATATGTTGCCTATACAATACGCCGTGTAACATATTATATTTTTTTTTTTTAAAAAGGTAGGTACAATAATTCATGGTGTTGGAAAATAATATTATTTTAGTATCTATTATGGTTATATTTAAAATTTAAAACAACGGTAAGTTATAGATACGAAGAGCAAATATATTCATACATTTAAAATTATAAAATATAACAATATTAATGATTACTGATTAGTCTGAAAATCATAAGATACACAATTTTTATATTACAGTACAATAGGACATTAGTAAAAATTTAAATATCAGTAAAAAAAGGTTCACGCCAATCTCAAGTATGCATCGCGTCGTCATTAAAAATGTGCATATTACGAGTACTTAGTAAAATGTAAATGTGATTCTCATCATAGAAATATTGAATAAGTAAATTATACTAATGAAAGTATTAATACTAATGAACTGAGCGTGCAAAACGACAAATTAAACTATCAAATCTATACTGAAAGAAACGGACGGACGATAGCTTAAAGCTCTATACTGTATATAGATTTGTAATCAATACTATATTGAATAGGTACGCATTAGTTATAAAACTACATACTGATGTATGCCTGTCTTTATACCGCGGATACCAACGATATTAATCAGAGTAAAAATCACTGTACACAAAATTATTGCGGTTGAAATCAATTTATAAATTTCCTATTAAATACAGCAGCAGATATCTGTTCCAGCCGTATAATACATGCAATTGTACATTTCTATATTATTTTTATACATTACATAACTTTTGATCGGTTTTATTTTCCTTTTGTATGTGTACGTCTGAAATGAGTAGGTGTATGTAGTAGTACAGCGACGTCTTCCATGATATTATTTTTATTTTTATTCATTCACATTGTTCGACGTCGTCGCCTCCACGAGTTTTCATATAAGCGTGGTCGTTCCGAGCAGTGGAAAGGAGCAGAAAAGAAAAATTTCCCAATCGAAAAACAAAACAAAAAAAAAATGCGAGAAAATTTTTTTAAAAGCGTTGACGTCTCGCCGCACAATTCCGTTTTGTTTTCATGGCGCGGGCAAAACGATAAAGGCGGCGGCCGAGACGTCGGTCGGTCACGGGTTTTTGGTTCCGTGGAATGCGATTTCATCAGCGAGAAAGCTATCCGCTCTGAGAGAAACAGCCTCCTGTCCTGCTGCAGCTGCAGTGCCCGGACCACCGACCTTCCACCATCTCGAGTACCACCTCCGCATCCACCACCACCGGCGGTGAACACAAGTTTTTTGTAATACGATTTTGCGTATTTCTATATATATATATATATATGTATCCTTTGTCAGCCCACCTCACTCCACGACGCCACATAATACGCACTACACTGCGCGAGAGGCGCGCAGACTGCTCCTCGCCCAAGCGAACGGGCAAGGAGATCGCGCGGATGAACTTTCCACGAGAGGACCGCCTCCGCGTACCGGTGACGGATATAATATGCGTATAAAAGAAGAGACGGCTGCAGTGGCGTCTGCGAACAGAGATTTCTCCCCAAACGTTAAATTCCTACGATTCTCTGTTTGTGTGTGGGTGTGTGGGTGTGAGCAAGTAAGCACGATTAAAGTCTACGTGTTGAAGAGCTATACGCTTCGCTGTCGTCACAATATCACAAGTATAATACTACTTCTTTGTTGTTACAACATTACTGTACAACTGACGATAATATTATTTTAAATCCTTCCGTAGTAGGTATATATTATTTTATATTTGCGTCGATTCGATACTTTATAAATTACTGACAACGGTGAAAAATCGGTTGTTTGTTGGCTATATATCGAACGATTGCAAAGAACGTTATATTTATCTTCTTGGCCGAACGATTGATAACAAATAATACAAAGAAATCACAAAGAACTCACCTAGCTCCGTGGTTTACCAGAAAACCTAATATGATTGAGAATGAATTTACTCAAATCGTATAGTTACCAAATAATTTAATTGGCTATTGAATTTTTTTAACTGTACGTTTAAGTGTAATGAAAAATAATAATACTATATAATAATAATTAATATTTTGTATTGTTAGAATAAATTATATGATAGAATATAAATGTATATTTTATTGATACCTATGATATTAACAAAATGTGTGATAAAAATGTTCAAAGTCATAAAATAATAAATATAATAATTATAAGCTTATAAATAATTGGTTAATAAATAATAAATTACTTTGTAATATTAATTCCCGTATAACGTTAGCCTTCATATTATTATTCTACAACTTTAATAAATTAACTGTATTTTATAACACATATTATATTTATTTGTAATATTTACTATTTTGTATTTTATATTTTTTCAGTCATTTTTTATCCTTCTTTTTCCGCAGCTCATCAACAAATGATGAATCTTCGATTTCTTCATGACATAAATATTGTAGACAAAAAAACAACTTAAGCTACTTTTCTAGTTGGCTGGTCATCCTACTTTTTATATGCGTTTTGAAGTTGATTTTCGATATTATTTATCTGGACCAGTAGTAAATATCGTGTTCAATCGTTTGATAGAAAATATTATGATAACGTTAGAAAAAATTGTATAAATTATTGGGTGTTCTCAATAATATTACTAAAATCTCGGTTCTTAATCGTATTTTACCGATTATTAATTATTATGCTACATATGTTTGTACCTACCTACATAGTTTTACTCAACACCATTTTAATTTTACTATTTTACAAAGAGATAGACCACAAAAATTTCATTTATGTGTGGTATGTCATTGTAGATAAAAAAGGAATCATTTTTTCGAACGGAATGATACGTTTGGCTACTGCGTTTCCGAAATTCTAAATATGTTGTTTTTATAAGTTCTAGTCTCTTTTTCGATTCCTTTTGGATGTTCTTTTAGATAACCACCACAAATAATTCCTTTCTTCACTTTTGAACACATATCGGAGTTGAGTATAAAATATCTCAGAAACTGTAGTACTTAAACAAAATAAACATGTTTCTTAGTTAGGAATTACATGCCAATAAAAATGATAAATATTATGTACAATAATAAAACAATATTAAAATACTTGATGTTCAGGCTTTTTACTTCAAAATTATATTTTACACTACACAACAGGGGCGTAATTAGGGCGGGGATAGAT